TGGCTCTAGATTCCATAGAGGTGCCTCATCACTGTACAGTTTTGAGTAGAGTATAAAGAGTGAAGAAGAAGAAGTCCAAGAAGAAGCTAAAAAATAACATTTTGTTCATGATGTGATGCTAATTTTGTAAGGCAGTTGTAAAAGTCGAACACATGGGTACCAGAGGAAACATCCACCTTTTTTTTTTCCCTGTTGAGCAGCTTGAAGTATAGAGATCAAATACAGACATGGAATATATTTTTTTCAGTAAGGGATTCAGAAATTATGAAGTGGCTGTTTTTTTGTTCCCTATAAGCATATAAAAGAAAATCAACCGTTATTCGTCTGATATTTCAGTATAAACTTCCCTTATGTGTTTAATATTAATATATAAAATGAGACCGAACACAATTTTTGCTTTTTATTTTTTACTTTGATATTTACAGTAGAAACATATTTTGAGTTTTTTGGGAGAAAAAAAGCAATTTGACATAGACGGATGCCATACAACTAACTTTCTGCCTCCACTTGTCATATTAGTCATCTTAAGGAAAAGAAGGATGATGTCATCTTTTTTCCCCTTTCTAAGTAACGACAAACCATTTGTATGCCAAAAATGAACTATGATTATCTCATCTCTTAATAGTTCAAGTGAAATGGTTTCTGTAACAGAAAACAATCAGAGGTTGCACAAACAAGAGTTAATTTTGCACCATGATTGTTATTTATTATTGTTGAGCCAAAAGCGATGCCTAAAATAGACTTGCACAGTGGGCACAGGAATATATCACCATAGAGACATATTGATATATCAGCATTGACATTAAAGACATGATACATTTCTCATCTTTTACAAATGGTCCAGAATGAAAGCCCCAATACCCATTTGATGCTGCCGGCATCTCTTAGCAGGAATCCTCTGTACATGTGCAGTATGCAGATCAATGTTATTCCACTGAACAATACATTTATGCAGTGTTAGGTGGATAATGGTTTTCTTACAAGAAATCTGATCGTTTCTTCTCTGGCTTTAGACTTCTTACGTAAAAAAAAAGAATGTGGCAGAACAAAGGGAAGGTTGTTTAGTTCTGGTAATACTCAACAAAGAGGGCTCTATATTGATCCATGTGTCCTTTTAGGAGCATTGGGAGCAGTGTTTCTGTGAGCTAAGTTTTGATTATAAATCGGCGGATAAACTCACATTGGGCCTTCATAGTACAGTAATTAACATCGTAACATATCAGGTTCACGAACCCTGCTGGCATTTTCAACATCAATCTAAATAAATGATGTAAGGGTTTTTATTATGAGGGTAAAAGGAAAACAGTGATGATTAAATTAATTCCTAAATTCTCTCCTGCCACAGAATCTGTTTATTTGTTTTAATTTTGACATAGTTTTAGCATTTATATATGTAATCTATTTAGAATATATACATTCTAGTAATGTTTTGTATTGTGTTAAAGAGTTGAGCCCTGCCTCATGCTCCTTGTATATTGCATTCAATCTTGATCAATAGTGTTTATGTTGTTTATGAAGGTCTATGATATTTTCTTTGAACATTGGTTGCTTTTTCACTCATTTTCTGTTCAGACGTTGTACCTGACTAGTTATGAAGGAACGTGTTGTTTTTTATAAGCTACTTGACACTGACATCTTTTGAGTATAAAAGGTCTCATAATTGAAAAGATTAGCCCACTACACTTAACATAAAACTCGGGGAAAGAGCTAAGTTTAATAGCGTCTTTCAGAATGTGTTACTTGTATTCTGTCACAAAGGCATACAAATTACTTTTTACTTTGTTGAATATAATAAACATGTGAGTTGAAACTCATCAGATTTTTAAAGAATTCCATACATTAAAACATCACACCAACAGGTTTTGGGTTAAAGAAAACTTACATAATTTGTCAATGTAAAACGAGAGTTTTGAAAGCACAAACCATGAACCATAACTGAGGATTGAGTAAGAACCTGGACTTTAATAGCTGCTTTTGTAAATCTATTCTTTATCGGGCTGACATGTGTCAACACGGTGAAAGAAATGTAGGCCCACACACAGCTTCTTTGTCTGCACTACTCTGCTTCTCCTTATGCCTCCAGCTTCAAATAAAGATGATGTCCCACTTGAATTTTTATTCTTTCAAAACTATACCTGAACTTGGGCTCCTGTATGAGAGCCCTTTCTTAGAAATATTTATTTTAGTTTCTCTTCAGTTTCACAAAGGTATAGCGAGGCATTAAAGAAGTTTTTATGACACAAGAGATACAAAAAATGTAGCATTAGATAGAGTAATGCCTCATCTAAACCCGATCTTCAGGAGAATGGCATCATCCATCCTGTGTGCCATATTTATGACTCCAGCATACTTTTATCCAAGCTTCAAAAATGTTACTTACATAAGGAGAGGCTCGGTGGGGATAAATCAATACCATTTTAGTTTCATATTCAGTTGTAGTCTGCGCAGTCAATAATCCCCGACTCTTGAGTTAGGCTATCTTATTTCCAAAGGAGAGCCATTTCTTAAGTGCTTAGAGTAAGATCACCTGCTAAGTGCTGGCAGGAGGAATTCTGATTTGTGCAAAGGGATGGTAAAAGGTGTGGTGGGAGATAATGACAAGAAAGATTTTTCCTTGTCTCAGGCTCTGCTGACCTGCTTAAGAAGATTGTGACTCCCCTTGGCAGATGACATGTTTAAAGGATTTGAGCTGAAGTCCTCAAAGATTTTGTCAAAAAAGAAAAAACTTTGGGAATTAGAAGGAATTAGTAGGCAATGGCAACAGAAAAAGCTGTCAGAAAAAGCTGTGAGAACGCTATCTGAGCCTGTCAGTAATAAGCCTCTCTGGTATGGTTCATGCTTTGAAAATCTATACAAATGTTTTCTCCGCAAAGCTAGGGACGAGTTATGTTGGTAGACAGTCCAAAAATTAATCAGATAGTTATGGTGCTTTTCCACTACTTACATTGGCTCTACTCAGTACTTTTCACCTCCACTAGGGGCTGGCCCCACTAAACAGTTACAACTTGAAAACTTTTTCGACCAGGATTCCACTGGGCCTGAGTAGGGCCGACGGGAAACTGCTCAACACTGATTGGCTAGAAAATGTGATAAGCTAGTGACTCTTAAGAACCCCTTCCATTTTGAAAAAGGACAAAAAGATTTCTGTGATCGTCAACTGATACATGAACCAACATCATGGTCCAACATAGCGCTTCTGTACAAACAATTTACCGGTAATCTTTAAAAAAATCCCAATATGTGTCACAGTGACGTTCTGGAAATTGTTTGACTAAACCTTAAACCTTTAATTAAACATGTCTAATGATGGCTCAAGAGTTTCTGTTTTCAGTTTTAATTTCTTTGTGAACAAGAAACAATGTGACACATATTTGAGCATTTCCACCATATTCCATATTGTCTTCAACACAAAAATGATCATTGAAGAGCCTCATTGTCGACCTTCTTGAGGTTCTGGGAACAATGGACAGTGGTTTCCAGGAGATACTCCCTGCATCATGACTCATATGTTCTAGTTGATGGCATCTTCAGTTTAGATTGTCAGACTGTGGAGAGCACCATACCATCTGTACACAGACAATCTCCAGTATACATGAGTAAAAAACTGTGACTGCGCTGTCAGTATCCGTACAGTGGTTTAAAATGTTTCTTGATACACAATCTAAGAAGATATATTGGACACAAAAAACCACAACCTAGATTTAATAACGGTTCACTAAATTCAAAAGATAGTGGTTAACATCATTGACACATTTGTTATAATGAAATAAAATCCTCTCTGTAAAATATAGCTAGTTTTTCAGTTTGGTTTCTCTTAATATAATTAGCAGGACTTTTCTTTCGTGGTTGTTTTTATGGAGAGTTTTTATGCAGCGATGTGAAAGGGAAATGCAAATCCCATCAAACAATAGAAGGCAGAATTTTCTATCTGTTTACTTATGCTGATTAAGCCTAAGACCTCTGCTTTTAAGACCTCAGATGGAATGTAAACAAAGTTTTTCCTCAGGGCCTGACCAATTTGAAGGTGTAGGCATTATCCCCTACCTGCTCTGTATCTTTAATAGAAAATAAGACCATGTTAGATTAAAGAAAGTGCAGTGTATTAATAGCAAAGTCATGAAACTAAGACATTACAACTAAGAGAAAATCTACAAGGTTTTGTTTGTGTAAAATAAAAATACATAGAGAAAAACAGGAGAAATTACAGTTCTTTAGGTCCTTTTCATTCATCCCACAAACAAACACTTTGAAATTCAGCCTGTACAATGTAGTTTTTTTTGTTTGTTGATTTGTTTGATTAATTCGCTTTTAATTTGTTAAACCAAGTGTGGCCATCTCAAGCTTTATTTTTTCGTGTAATCCACTTTCATCCTTTCATTTGTGAGTGTGATCTATGAACCAAAATGAGATGGGAGACAGGGAGATAATTATACTTTTTGCAGTTTTTTATTTTTTTTAATGCCTTCAAAGTCGTCCAATCTGCTGACTTTTAAAAATAAATAGACACAGACTCATTAATTTCTTTAAAATCATGTATCTGCTGCTTGTCAGGGTATGTTTAACAACAGATGATGCAGTCCAATAAAAGAAACTGAAAGCTTTCCAGGAAGCTTGTCAAAATGACTCAAACTTTTGTCAACCTTTTCAGTATTTAAGGAATGTAACTCTTTCTGTACATGTGTCATTTTTTGCAGAGTGCAGCCCAGACTGCCAGCATTGCACAGCAGACCTCCAGACGGGCATCGGCAGCGTGTGTCTGAGCTGCAAAGTGCCAAGGACCTGGTTGTTGGGCGACCACTGTGTCTCTCACTGTCCCCCGGACCATTTTGGTTGGCATGGAGCCTGCATCCGTAAGCGTTTAAACCCTCCTGCCTTATTACAACGTTCAAAAAGTCAGAGGTCAGACAGTCGCTGTCTAAATGTAAAAACTCAAGAGCTCATCAGAGCTTTTATGTTTTATTCATCAGTTAAAGATCTGACGGTTATGTTAAGTCTTTGACCTGTTCAAAGTCACCCCTTGACCCTCTTATTTCTGCTGACCTGAAAACAATGAGAAGTAGAGGCAAAATTAATTTAACATGAATATGACGTAAAACATTCAGTTTAATTAATGTGTGTGCTTTTTTTACATGGCAAAATTAAACAATAGTAAACCCAGTGACATAAAGATTAGACAAGGAGCGCTCAACTGTCTTTCACTATTACAGTTCGGTACACTTTATCTTGGCATTGGTGCAGCATGACAAATATAAGTCAAATAAGAAATACCTTACATATGTTCTACATACCATCTGGAAATTGTCAGATAAAAAACATCCTGTTGTGCAGCATATACTGGCACAGTATTCACACTGAGAAAAAACTTGAAAAGGTTGGCTATTGCAAAAAAAAAAAGAAAAAAAATCACATTCACTGTTGGGAAAGATGATTCAATGGTGGCATAAAAAGAAAACATGGAACCAGAAAGTTTAATTTTTTTCATTAATTTCTCATCTTAGTTAGCATCCTCAGCTCCATGCCTGCTTCTCATTAATATCTCATCCCTCCTTCTGTTCATTACCACAGTTATTATCCCAATTATCACTCCCATCTGCATCCCAAAAGTCCTCATCTTTTTCCTCATCCTCATTCCTCTTATCCTCTTGCTAATAACCATCTAAATATGAGACACTTATCGTTGCTGGTTTTCTCTTAATTATCACAATGGTCCTCCTGCTCATCACATCCTTACCTCCATCCATACAACAGTAAACTTCATCTGTACATCATCATCATGATTAAGATCATAAAAAATTATACCAATACTAATCATCTTCCTATGATCTTCATAGCTGTCTCATCTTAGGCAACAGCAGCAGCATCAATATTAACAAGATGATTCTGTTCATAACCATCATCTCCCTAATGATCAACTTTGTTATCTAGACGTTCATCCTCCTTTTCATCATCCTGTCCAATCACTATAATTGTTGTTCTCTTCTCTATTTTTTTGTCATCTCATCATCTTTGTGCTTATCTTCATTATTTTCACCTCCATCATCTACTCCTCAATATTGTCATTCCCTCATGGCACCATAGTTATTATAAACATTCTCATCCTCCTAAATGTATGCTGATCGTTACCTGAAGTCTTCCTCATACTCATCGACCTCATCATTTCCCTCTTCTTCTGGAGATATATTCTCCTTTTGTTGTTCAGTGTCATTAGTTATGTCTTCTTCATCTTTGCAGATCATTAACACAACCATCCTCCCATCATTTTTAGTCGCTTGTGGTTCAGCAGTATTCAAGCAACCTTCATGTTGAGCTGCTGTGATGCACGCAGATTTAAACACAGAGTGTGAAGACAGGGCTTGATGGGGGAGAAGCAAAACCTCAGTAGGCTCATCTAACTGAGGCAGCTGCATATAGAAAGAAGCACACACAGGCAATTATGTATCAAAATAAGAGAGAAAAGCAAGCAAAAGAGATTTGATTGCACAATAGAGGAGCTCAACCATTTCCATGACTCATTTAGATACCTTCTAATTAGTTTTTGTTGTTTAAACTGGATGGAGTAAGCTATGTTCTCTTTTTTCCGGTTTTGTTATCTTAAAAGCTTAAAGAATGTGGCTTTTTAAAATGTATTGTCTCTGTGAAAATATAACGATTCAGCAGTTTTAAGTAAGATAAAACAAATTCAATGAAAATGAAAGCATTTTTTAGTTTTCTTATGTTGTTTCTTTCTGATTTACTAAAATTATTTCCGTTAAATTGAACTTAAATGTTCCCTGTGTACGCAGTGCATATTATAAAGAATACAGTATGCATACTGTAACTATACTTTTAAGATTATGCTTGTGTCACTTCATCTTTGTTTAGGTTTTATTCCCTCCATATGTTTGAAATGTAATCATTTCTTTTCCAGGATGCCATTCTTCCTGTGAGGCCTGCAGTGGGGCAGGGCCCCTTTCTTGCACTTCCTGTCCCATTAACAGTGTTCTGTTGCCAAGTGGTCTGTGTGCATCCAAATGCCCTCGTGGTTACTTTGACAACGGTCATCGGATCTGTCAAGGTACAATGGCTACCACTACTTTCATCACAGGTTAATGAGGTGTGGACAGGTGTCAGACGAATCAAAGATGAGAGTATTTAATTTTTTCAGGGGAACAGGTTTTTTAAATTAACATATTTTCTGCCTCAGGCTGATCAGTGGCTCTGTGGCCACTTAGACAGTATTAAAAAAGCATTTCATCCTATAAAATAATATAAAATAAATAAATATATATATATATGCCCATTTATTCAACTACAAAGGTAAGTAATCTGCCACAGGGAAATAATTAGATATATTTTTAAATAAAGGTTGTTTATAAAAGTACATTTTAGTATTTAAATTCAGTATTTATGATTTACCTAATTGTTTAGATGTTTTTAGGAATTTCATTATACATTTATTTAATTAATGGGATATTTACAGGTATGTATCTCATGATATTGTTAGTTGGTTAATTTTGTCACCCTTATACCCCTATATTGTCCTTATATCTTGGTGTAAACTGTTTCTAATATCCCTGTTTATTACCTGTGGTAAATACGGGTATTTTTTGCTCTGGTGACCGGTGACCACAACCCTTTTGTAATTGGGACATGTTTCCTTTCTTCGTTGGTTGGATTGTACGATTGACAAATCTAGATTGATAGGTTTAATAGAACCTTTTTTCATTTTTTCTTCAATGAAAAAAAACAACAAAATTCAATTAAAGTTAAATGCTTTTAGTCCAAGGCGGGAATGTGCCTTGCCTCCTTGATTTACTGGGGTTTTATAGTGTGGAATGACACATGCATAGTCATGGTCTGATATTTCAATCAGAAAATATCTGCATGTTGGAAACAGGAATAAATCAGAGTTAACTGCCAAAGGCAATCTAAGTTTGTAAGCTGCATTCTGAAGGGAGAGGTGAATGCAGCTCAAGGGTGGTGAATTCCGCTTGTGAGAAAGTAGGGCAACTGACTGCAAGAATGAAAAGCTACTGAGCAGATAAGAAAAAAAGTTAAAACCTGCACAGTGTCCAGAAGAAATATCAGAACGTCCTCAACCCTTTTTTAAAAAAAACTTATCCTCAAATAGTTTTCATATTGGTGTTTATCCATAATTTAAATGCAAAAGTATTGATTATATATCATGTTAAGTCAAATCTATAAATCAGTGTTTTGTGTCACATTATTTTGCACCAGAATATGTTGATGCATTATTGTATGAAGACTACAAAGTTGTACAGTGAAGCTGAAAAGGACCACAGGTGAGAGGGATTACAAAAATCAAATTTCCAAAGTGTTCATGGAAGCCAACATTTAGAGTAATCACATTCTGTCACTGTTTTTCCTGCCATCTATTGTCTATGCTGACCTCTATGTTGGGTTTTTTTTTGTTTGTTTTTGGCAGCTTGTGACAGCCATTGCTTGACATGTGACACAGCCGGGGTTTGTACGTCCTGCCGTGACCCAGCCAAGGTGCTGATGTTCGGAGAATGCCAGTATGACAGCTGTGCCCATCAGTACTACCTCAACACCACAACTCGCACCTGCAGAGGTATCCTATGATCCAAAAAACAATTCAAACAGTTATATATAAAAATGTACTCAGCTATTTTTTTGACATATTGAATAAAAATTGTATTTTAATTATTTTGTATGCATGTTTCATTAATGGAAATGACAAAAATGTTTTATATCAAATATGAATGACATTCTAAATGATACAGAGAATTTTAAGTACAGATAATAACTTTTTATACGCAGAAAGCAATTGCACATAATGGCTCACATAAGCAAATTGATAGACTTGTCTTTGGCAATGGCGTTTTTCAATTTAGTATGATTTCCCTGGACTCAGCCCCCTGGAGGAAGCGGGTCCATTGGGGACACCCTTATCCCCCCATATTTTATTTCGGGTAGTAAAAAAGTAACATGAAGCTCTGGTTTCTTGATAAACACATTGATTCCCTTTTTGGATGCCTCCAAAAAAAAAAACAGATGGCTTTAACCATCTAACCCACAATGCTGTGTTTACCAACGCCCGCAGCAAACTGCAGATACTACCCTAACCCTGGGTGAACCCAGAGTGTGAGACAGCTCTGTCTCCATCTGCTCTTAGAATACTGAAAAAGATGTGAGAAAACTTGGAGGTCTTTGCCTGGCACTGGGAGAGAAGGAGCTTGCATTTCAAAACATTGGTTTTTAGTTAATTCAAATGCTTGCACTTTTTTCCTCTCTCACTTGACTCCAAAATCATACAAAGGTAAAGAATAAGGACATCGATGTAGATTGTAGTTTGTTATTTTTTCTTGACTTTGTACATAGAAATTACATAAAGAAACAAACATATTAGAAAAATTGTTGTAAATGACTTAAAATTGGTTCATAATAAAATAACCAATTAGCAAATGACAAAAGTTCAAAGCACCAACTATTTACAATTTCATGCTAATAGTCTCAGCAGCTGATGGTCACCAATCATCAGACACTGAAGAATAACCCACTTGTTATTATTCTCGGATTCTTGTTATTGTGCTGGATAACAATTTAAGCTCAGTTTTGTAGAATCAGTATCTCGCTGAAGCTTAGTTACAAATGTGGAACCTCAGACAACTAAATTGACCTTATTTTTACCTGATTATTTTTGATTGTTGCAATATTAATTGCAATTATTACATACACCATATGTGCAGGGATAAAAACCCTAAAATCTGAAACAAAAAACCTAAATTCAGTTAAGTCTTGTGGAGAAAAAAATAAGTTGATGATTTTTTCCCTCTGTTCTACTCCTGCCTTTGAAATCCCCTCACTTCTTTCCCCATGTCCCATAACTCTTGCTTCTATCTCCTCCTTTTTGTGCTCCCCTCTTCTTATTGTTCCCAGAATGTGTCTGGAGCTGCAACACCTGTAAAGGCCCTCTGCGAACAGACTGCCTGCAGTGCATGGAGGGTTACGTTTTGCAGGACGGGGAGTGCACGCAGGGCTGTATCCAGGGATCTTATCAGGACGGAGACAGATGCTTTGGTCAGTGCAACGTAAAGCCGATAAACAGGCCGACATTTTACACACCTGATACTATCAAAGATGAACATCCTCTGCACTTGTATTCCGTCACACTTGTCACCATTTCAACTTGATTTCCAGTCTTCTTTTTAAATCTAACCCTGGTTTTAACAATAAGTAAAGGAGTTCATGTTTGCCTCTGTTAAATACCATGTAAAAAATAACATTAAAATAACATCAACAACACCAAATTCATGACTTATTTGAGACTTATGGATGATCAATTTTCCAAAATCCATTCACTATAAAAAGGAATAAGGGAAATTAATTTTCGGTAGGTAGGTAAATTAGTGTCATAACATTTCTCCAAACTGTTTTCCCCTGGAAGTCACTTTAATGTTCACAATTTTCTTAGTGGGTTTCCTTACGTTGTCATGTTTTCAGGCTGTGACGATCACTGTTTGGAGTGTCGGGGTCCTGGACAGTGCCTGAAATGCCAGTCTCCTTACGCCACTCTGCAGGGACAGTGTGTGCTTGAATGTGGCAGAAATCATTTCCTGGATGCCTCTTCAAACGTCTGCATGTGTAAGAGTTTACAATGTTCTGTGATTTAGTTATGATGTAGTTTTTATTGACCTCGCTGCATATTTGAATAGCAATCTATTTAGCATTGTTCTGTGACTTTTAGAAAATGAATATTTTGACCAAAGCTTTGTTTAAAATGTAATCAATAAAAACAAATATGTATACAAATATATATACAAATATGGTGACAAAAAATGAATGAAAAACACCACCTCTGAACCTCTCATTGATTGACTGATTTTTGTCTTCATCAGCTTGCTCATCAGACTGTATGCTCTGTGATGGGGTCAGACACTGCAAAGCATGTGTATATGGAACCTACCTCATGGAAGGATACTGCACACCTGATTGTGGATCGGGCTATTTTGCCGATCCAAAGACCAGAACCTGCTATGGTAAAAACACACTGCCAATTGTGTTAGCTTTCATATGGTTTCTTAAGTTAGACTTAGACTCAGTTGTCCTGTCCAGAGGGAGAAACTGGTTTGAAGGCTTCAACGGTAAAGGTTATCCCCACAGAAAGCTGTATAGTTCTCCCTGTGACTTCTTCACCGATTACTTAAGCTGTTAGCATGGCTATGAATAAATGTTTGAAGGACAAGATTCACTTAAATTGTAAAAAAGAAAAAACTTCAAAAATGTAATGGTATGTAAATGAAGTGTTCCAATTCGCAACATTCTGTTTCTTACGTAAGAGCAACTCAACTGTAGGGTGATCAAATTCAAATTTCATAAAGATAGGGAGCATAAATAATTCACATGACCAGGAGACGTCATACGAAATCCCTATGGTTTGTTGCTTGGCAACAGAATAGTTAATAAGGGTTTATCATAGTTTTGCGAGCAGTAAAATCACACAACTGTCTTTGACATTATTGAGTGAGAGCTATCTATCTATCTATCTATCTATCTATCTATCTATCTATCTATCTA